AAAGCGGCGGAAGAACGAGCAACTCCGTCTCCTACAGTGAGTGTTCTCTTTTATCATCTTATGCTTAAAAATGCGATATGTGTGACGTACTCAGCTTAAGGCCATATAACACGTTAAAATTGTTTTACCCCTCCCATATATGAACACTTTTTAATGAGTTTTTATGACTTACAAACTATTGGAAGATAATTTTGCAAAGCAAGTAATATATATGAAATATGGATAATGTACAAAACTGGAGGGATTCAGTCGGTTGTGCATTTGCGTTGTCTTTTTCGCAATGGGGATCGAGCACATCAAACTGATTTGGCTTGTCATCATTTGCCGATTTTTACAAACAAGTGTGATTGCGCAACGTGCTTATTTGACGATGCTTGATTGACAGAAAGCCCGCAGGCGAAAGCGGAAAAGACCTGAAATCCTCCTGAATGTTTTCTTGACTAGAATATTCCCCGTGTTTGATGCTTTGACACTTGGAAATGAAATTTTAAATACTGAGAAATGTCACATTCTAAGACTTGATTAAAAATCATGACCAGCCCTGAACGATCGTAAAGCCATTTCAGTGCAATCGAACATCAATGCCGATGCCTTGTCTGTTTAAAAATGGTTCCTTGCACTCGAATTGGCCATTTTGGCTGCATCACGTCATGATTTTTTTTTGGCATGCCACAAATCTTTGTCAAAGGCATCTTAATTAAGACACTTGAACTTCGCTCTCTTTTGGTTTTCAATTTGGCTTTCTTTAGATCGCATCGGAATCAAATTCACACACACACACACACACACATTCCTGCGATTCGGAGACATGGGGGACCCACTCCCGCCCCCCACCCTCATTTGTTCATCAGTTTATTGCCCGTCTCGCTTGACGCTATTAGTCAAGCTTCGCTGAGGGATGCAAGCCTCTAATTGCAGGAACATGTCGGCCCTAATAGAAAACATCGGCCTTCTTCTGGCTGCGACTGTCCATGAGGGGCCTTTGGCAGTTGCTTCTTTTTTTTTTTTTTTTAAACGCAACGCTGCCTTTTGAGAATGATTCCCACCTGTGGGCCCGGGAAGGAAAACGAAGCTTCAACCGAACGCCAAGGGCTTAGATATGCAAGCGTCAGATTTGAGGTCTTCTTTCGCCTGTGTGTTTTCCAAATACTTCATTGCTGGTTTAAGGTTTCCACTTGACTGGAGTGTGGCCTTAGTAAAGAAAATTCTGTCGGCTCCGGGAATGATTCATGGTGAATGCCAGTTTTGTGTCAGCCTGAAATCCACCATCGTGTTGTTGTTGTTCGAGGCATCAGCAGCTGATGATGCTTTATTTTTTTTGTCAGTTCACAATGTTTGCAAAGCGACGGGATCACCTTTTGATGAGTGCTGTCACGTGGCGGGATCAAAACCGAAAATTGCAGCTCTCTCAAAAACAAACCCGTCATCGGCCACCAATGGCGAAACCGCGAAAAGCCCTTCCAACTCTTTACATAGCATGCGCCTCCAAATCCAGATACCGCCATATGAGCTCACAGCTAAATCTTAGCTGACAAGCCGAGCCAACCTTGGAGTGATCGTGCGAGTCGTCGTCGTGTATTGCGGCCGCGGGATAAAAACATCGGGATCGGGTTTTCTCTGGGAGAATAAAACGGAAGTCGCTTCCCGTGAATCCTTTTGTTGGTCCCTTTTTGTGAAGCGGGCCCACAGGAAAGCAGATCCCTTGCCCGTTGTTTGTTTGGCCCTTTTAACACACCGCCAAAAGAAAGAAACAACATAAAAAAAAAATGCACAATGCATCTAGCAAAGATGCAGCCGAAATTTAAGATGACACTTTTTTTTTTCCTTCCCGGCTCTTGTTTGGTGCGTAAAGCAGATGGCCGTTTAGCCTTGAGTTAGCACGTTAGCGAGGGCCAGCACCGCCGTGTGTGCCAGGCTTCCCCTGTAAGCTCGGAGCTCCATTAAAGCTTTCACGAAGCGCTTTACTGGCTCCTCCACAAACAGCTGATGGCTGCCAGCTGGACATCTGCGTCCGGAGACCTTAGCCACCGGGCAACGCGGATGAAAGTAAAATAACAAACGCACATGTCCACAGCTTCCAACGTGACTAAATGTGTGTTGTTTTTTTTTAAAACTAGCAAAGCAAATCCCGCTGTAATTTTGTGACCTAATTTTGCAATTGGGGACGTGTGTTGCAAACACAAGCAATTATGCATGACTCCATTCTCAATTAGAAACGGTTCAATTATTTTTCAGTTGGGGAAAGAAGTCCATTCTCAATTAGAAACGGTTCAATTATTTTTCAGTTGGGTATATATATTTCTTCTGACATCTGTGTTTAGATTTTCCTTTTGTGAAACGCTTTGTATGCGCCTTGGGAAAAAAACGCTGATTTGGTCAGTAGCAATCGACAGGCAAATTAGAAAAGGCTGAAGCTCTGCGCTAATCCTCTCGACTTAAAAAAAAAAAATGCAGGCCAACTGTAACAAAGTTGAGCCCGGTGATTGTTGAAGAGAACTGTAGAGCGAAACGGCCGCTGACAGGGGACCAAACACGGTGTATTAAAAGACGAAATGTGCTATTTTGGGGAACCTAATTCCAATTTCCCCCTTTCTGGCCTCAGTGATTACGTGTTGACTGTACTTGGAATTAAATTATTTCATTCACTGAGAATTCCTATGGCTGCCCGTTAAGGATGCAAAATCCACCCCTTGAAATACCTTCAATCCTAAACTACTTCAAGATGTAGCCACGACAAAAAACCAAAACAACAACCTTGTTAGTACACGCGTTCAGTCTAATTCAATCTGACGGACATGATCAGGAATGTACAGAAAGTACAGTACATGCAACCTACACGTAGGAAGGCCGCGGCACGGATTTCAACCCCCCAACCTTAAAACCGTGAAGCGGATGTACACTCATCACCGAGTCGCCCTTTTTTACGAGATTGTCTTGTAACAAGAAAAAAAAAAAAGGCTAGCGAGCCTTGGCCTTGGCTTTCATGCCATCAAAATGTCTTCTCATAGCTTTGCTAACGTGAACTGACAAACAAAATCAGTACCTAAGTAAAGAGAGCGCCTGGAAAAAGTATAACCTACACGACTTGTACCGTATTTTTCTTGATTATTATTATTATTATTAATAAAAAATAACACCGAGATGGAACTGGTGTTTTTTAGGTTGGCACAATGCATTCGCCACAGGCTATTCTTGTTGCTGACAACCTCAATTTACTTCAATAAGGCTACAAATGGGGAATATAAGCGTCCAGTGACAAAGTATTTGGACTTCCAACGTCTGTAAATCCATGTGTGTTGATCCCCATTTCGAACTGCTGTTGAGTCATTGACCATCCGGTTAGTCAGTGACGAAGCCGTTTAACTGCAACAGTCTTCCAGTGTTTGTCTTGTCATGGAGCGTAACGGCAATATCATTCCCCCCCCGTTGCTTCCCAGGTGCCTCGGAGCTGAGCTGCAGGGAACTGCGCTCCACCCGCTACATCACAGACGGATCCTGTCGTAGCGCCAAGCCGGTGAAGGAGCTGGTGTGCTCGGGCCAGTGTTTGCCCTCGCATCTCATGCCCAACTCCATCGGCCGCGGGAAGTGGTGGAGAACCGGCGGCGGGGCCTCGGACTACCGTTGCATCCCGGCGCACTCGCGGACCCGTCGGGTCCAGCTGTACTGTCCCAACGGCAACACTCGGACTTACAAGATCCGCGTGGTCACCTCCTGTAACTGCAAGCGCTTCCGGCCGCACCATAACCAGTCCGAGGCCAAGGAGGTCCCGCGGTTACCCCGCAACAAGAAGCACGGCCGTTCGTCCCAGGACCGGAACAAGAACAAGACGCCGTTGACGGACAACTCGTATTAAACCTCCGAGTTTGTTGACAACACCCAAACAACCCGACTGATATATCTCTCTCTCTCTCTCTCTCTCGCTCTCTCTCGCTCTCTCTCTCTTGCTCTCTCTCGCTCTCCCGCTCTCTATTGGGGAGGACACGCAAGAACAATTTCACTCCAGGGCGACTTCACAAACTGGGCTGACTTGGTGTTTTTTTGCCAATCTCAGTTTTCTTTTCTGCATGACAAAGCCTAAATGACCAGGTTCGCTACGAGGAGACATCGCAGCGGGGCCCCGTCCTGATATAAAGGCATCTGAAGCGTAGCAAACATCCTCCCCGCCGGGCCCTCCGAGCCATCTGTACAAACACCACAACGCTTGCTCCCACTGCTGCATTTAAGGCGGACAAGGTGCACTCAAGAGGTCGTAATCCATCTGCTTCTGCCGAGATGGGACACTGGCAGCTCAAGGGGGTAGGGGGCTCCGACGGAGGGATGGTGACAGCTTCGGAAAGAGGCCTCCCACCTCTTTCCGCCTTCCGGGGCCCTCCCCCCCAAGGGCCTCGATAGCCCCGCGGCGCTCTCGGCTGATGACATGCACTCGGCATGACTTGGAATTACGAGTTGAGCGAGCCCATGAAACGGACCTGATATCAGAGCGACCCTCCTCCTGCCGGTCTGTAAATACAACCGCACCGCAAAGACGCTTGGCCTTTTTTTGTTGTGGACGAGGTGGGCGTTTCCGCAAACGCTCCTGTCATTCCCCACCGATTTGAAAGCATCCCGACGATGTTTGCAGCTTATTTTGACTTTTTCAAATGAGCAACTGAAAAGGATGTCACAGACTGTACAGATCATAGCTGAGTGTTGCCCTCGCCAGGCTAAAGGGGCGGATCAAGTGTGAGCCGGTGGGTGGTGAAGAGGCCAATTTCCACAAAGGAATGAACTGCATATTTATTTTTTATTTCCACATTTGAATTATTTATGCAACCTTTTTTTGTAGTATATAATAACCGCCATTATTGTCATCTAGTGCGATAGCGCAATGAAATACTGTGCAGTACGTAAATAAAGCCAATCCAGATATATTTCAAAAGTGCCCTGCTTGTTGTTTTATTCAAATATCCTGCGTTGAACGTGTCATTGACCCCTGACCTTGGACCTCATGGCAATTACAGATGCTTCCTCATTGTACGGCGGGCGGGTTCCGACACCACGACGTAAAACGTGCTCGACCGTAGCCTCGTGATAGATCACCGTGACAACAAAATTTGGAGGTAAGTCAGCATTTCAAGACCTCTAAATAAACAAGGTGCAAGCACAATACAAAACTCGACGGTGGAAACCACAGATCTGTCTTTCTGGCGTTCTCTGGGAGCATCGTCGAGATCACGTTTCATTACATCATCCCGAGCGGGTGGTCATTATGTCATTCCCAAGCCCTGTTTTCCCGGAGAGAACAGACATGCCCATGCGTTTGCTCGCTCGGCCAAAATGGAGAGAGTCTCCACCAAGAAACCTTAGACTGCGGCACGGTGACGCCGACAAAGCATCTGTCCCGCGTTAACGTGCGCACAACAATGCGAACTCCCAGTGACCCTTTATCCCGACCGACCGCGGAGCAGGAGACGTCAAGCGCGATCTACTCCCCACCGGTGCATCACATCCACCATGCTCGCTCGAAGTGTCATCAGAGGTGCTCGCAACTCCAGGTGCACGTGTCCCACAGGCCCGCCGCCCCTATGAAAACCGGCTCCTCGTATTGCCACAAACGCTCTCGGCCTTGAGAAAATATTTATAGATCTGACACACTGACCACGATAAATGCTCGCCGGCTTCCTCGGTCCTGATGTGGGAACGCAAGTGAGAGGACCGGGAGGAATTCAGTCCGTCCCCATGCTGTCGGCGAGCCTTCAATCATGCCTCCGTTGTACCACCCCCGCTGTAACTCCAGACAAAAATGCAGAACACGTTTGTTGTAAAAAGCCTCGTTCCCAAAGCTCGTTGCTTAGGACCTGGCGGGGACATTTTGGTCAGATATACTTCTCACAAAAAGTTTGGGATATTTGACCTCCTGGTTCTCCAACAAGAAGGAATATTTACAGGACGTCCACTGCTTTGCCTTTCTGTGACTCTTCCGGTCTTGGTTGCAACCTGCTGATGACACTCTTTTGTATTGTTCAGCTCATGGATGTAACACTTGTGAATTTATTTATTTATTCTTTTTTGGCGTATCATCTGCAGGGAGGGATATTATCCCGTCCAAATGCATGCTCTGCCAGAGGTATTCATCTCATAAAAGCACCGACGTCACTAATACAAGTGACATCCACATGAAACGGGATCGATCATAAAACGTTCAACAAAACAATTCCTGCGGCCTGCCAAAAGCTAACCTAATAAAAGTCGGTAATGTGTTGAGTTTCTGCACCGACAGCTTGTGCAACCAACAGCTGTCCAGGAGGCTTTGCGGAGATGAAAAACATTTCACTGGAACTGCAAACATACCGGCCTTCGGCGGCAATTACGCCACGTCAAGATGATTCCGCCCCCGCGGGCCCCACCCGTAGTAGTTTTCAATCAAGCGTTTCCCAAGACTGCAAACGACTGCTGTAATCAAAGGCGTGTGTACGGTTCAGCGTGATCAGACCAAACTGTTGACTTTCAAGAGGCAAGACGTTGAATTTCTTCTCAAGTCCTTGTAGGTTTTTTTCAGTAGCTCGAAGAACGTACTGACATTACTAAAAGCTGAATGATTTAAAAACATCTTTCTTGATTAAAAGGCACAGAGTGAAATGTACTCAAGTACAAAAGCAAAAATGAATGTTTACTCATAGATACAATATCTGTTTTGACAACTTGACTTGGCATGATGGAAAAAAAAAATGCACAAAATTTTCCCACTTTTCTGACAGGATACTGAAACTGTTAAAATAGCGAATGACCTGAGACATTCGACATTTGGGAGATACTTCATTACTTCAAGGCCCATTTCTATCAGTCGTGTGAGCTAGCTAGCTATATCTAAATCCCGAAAATACAGCTTCCTTGGATGCCACAATTTCCAGAACAGCTCGGTGTTGTTCCTTGACTTCCCCAAGTGAGGAGGCAATGCCACGGACCAGCCTCCCGCCCGTCTGACGGTCGAGAGGATCCCTGGAAGCTTGCAAGCTAGCTGGTGGCTAGCGCCTCTCACTGTAGTGTGGGAATCCCCGTAACGACCTAGTGGGGTCTGTTCCACCTTGTGGTGTCTATAGGTGTTTTTTATTGCCACAGCCCGACCATGTAGGGTTGCGTAAACAGAAATAAGTTGCTAGATCAAGTAGCATCCATTTTTTTAGTGCACCGTGGTTTTACATATTCCGTGCACAAGTCTATAACATCCGAGAGTTGAGAAATTGGCTTCATTTTTCATGAATTTGAACCCTAATTTTATAGCCCTGGCGACTCACATTTGTTGTGACATTTTTATTTGCATTTTACAGGGACTTTTAAGTACAGTAAAGAAGATGCTCTAAGATGGCCGTCACTCATCCAGCGATGAGCAGATGATCTTTATGGGTCAAAAGGGCTTCTGCTGAACCGAATAAACATCAGTCGCTCGGCCGAGTCCGAGTTAACCAAATGCTACAAGGACAACAGGAGTTGAGGAAGCGGCTGTCAACGGGAGACTTCTTAGTCTGAAGTTCTGCAGGAATTTCCTCGCCGTTACTCATCATCCCCTGATGGATCCTGTTGAAAAACGCGCCGTTTTCAAGTGAAATATGTTCCGCGCAGGATTAGAGAAGCGCAGTTTGTTTTCGTAGTCGACGTGTTTGACCTCGGAAAAGCGGCTTTGCTTGAAGCATCGGCGGGTTTGCTTGCGGGAAGCATGGCTAAGCTTCGCGAGTAGCGACACAAGTTTACACAACGTCACTCGACAGTTAGTCTACCGAGCGGAGGTTGACTCGGAAGAGTTCAATCCAGCCACACGCACACAAAGTCCCGAAAGACGACTCATAACTCGCTCCTTGAGATACTCGCCGGGAAACTATTCAATAAATTTGGTGGCCTTGCAAAACACTATAAAGTGGTCAATGTTACTCACTATATGGAATAAGCTTTGAAACAAAGAACAGAAATTTACAAGTTGTGAATGCCCCATTGCGAGTCTGTTCTGAAAATAGCTTACCAGTCACAGGACATTCCCAGGGATGTTGTAGAATAATCATTTGGGAATATAACTGATGCAAAATGCTTACAGCAAGAACTTTACTCCGATCATCGCCACGCAGACACCTAAGAGGAGGAGGGGGAAAGAGAGAGAAGTGGCAGCACAACAGCCCAAAGGAGCAATGAAGAGTTTCTCAATAGTTGGACAGAAAAATTCACTAATTGGTGAGGGTTCACCCGATGTTGTTATTCATGACAACTCACTAACTCATGAAACACCTTTTGTCCTTTTGTTCCTTTAGGGCTACCGTACCTCTCCTTGTTTCTGGCACACATCACTCTGTGCCAGATTTTAACCAGTGGTGGGAAAGGATGTGAGGCATGTGGTAAGTCTAAGACTTACTTTTATGACTCCTATACACAGCATGCCCCTAAATTCTAGTTACGGCTCGTGATTTGCTGATAATTATTACAAAATGAGTAGTAGCTATTGATTTTATACATTTAAATTTGGTCCTGCCTTGATCCGACGCTGTCCTTTTCTGCATAAATTGCTTTGCAGACACCTTGTTTTTCTTAAAAACTGCACAGAGAGGACAATCGGCGACCTTGTCCACCCTGCACACGCAACGTCAGAGTAATCAAGTTTTATGAAGGGATTTTTGGCATAAAGGTGCTGCACCCAAGGACCCAGCCCAGGCGCTGCCTTGAGACGCACCTCCGAAAAGCCGCGTCAACTCTTGTTAAAAGGTCTTGACAGTTGGGCCTTCCCCGGGGAAAATTCCTGGTGGCGTTCCCACCTTTTTGCCTTGCGTCAGGAGGAGGCTAAGTGGCTATATGTTCGTATTTAATAGAGATGAAAGGGCTCCATTCAAATATCGGGATTCATGATTGAGCAGTGGTTTCAGCTTGAGTCAATCATGGAAGATTTAAAGAGAAGCAGCACGTGTGTGGGCGGCGGTCTGGCTTGTTTTGACAGGCGCTCGTCAGACGCCCGACCAAAACCTCTCCTCCCGTTTTAAACGGCGAGCAAATGAGTCAAACGGTTCGTCTCCGTGTCATCAGCGTTAACCGCGATGACGCCGGAGCCAGACAGGCTGCGACTGGCAAAGCGTCCTCCCCGTCAACACGTGCTCGGCCAAATGCTCCCCGACGCCTCTGGCACGTGAAAAACACTTTGGAAACTTGACAACAAACCTCAACTAGCTTGTGTTTGGACTTGATTATTAATAGAAGTGGCCAACGTGTTAGCGCTCTGCGCTGAAGTCGAAGTACAGAGACTTGTGTCGAGAAACACTTTGGTATTGTTTCAACGACAAAGTACATAAGTACAAAAAAAAAAAAAAGTAAAGACTCTGAAATGTATTTCACCCTTTCAGGGACTGCGCTTACGACAGTGGACAGCTTACCGTGTTATCAGGTTACAGGGTGCTTGAAAGAGTTAATTAAAGGGGGAATCCACACACATGCTAGCAAGATTTCAATGTAGCTTTCATTTCAGGTTGCCTGTAAACAAGCCGTTTAGCCACACCCGCTACATTGGTTGCATTACTTCATCGTTTTACGATCTGTCTACTTCCTTTTTTAATTTTTGTTTTCCAACAGGAGGTGGATTTTACCGCCGCAGTTTCAGCAAAGCTCCTCAATCGCACCTTAACGGGGAACAGGTATGTGCTCCGCCATCTTTGCTAATGCTCTCTGGCGGTTTCCACGCCGACGTTTAACCAGGCCGCTGGGGTTCAGGGAAACGTCTTAAGATTCAAGTTTGAGGTCAGGAGGGCATTCATGCCGTCTTATCCAGCTTTTCCCCAATTTAGTTGTGAAGCTTGGTCCCGGAAAGAGTTAGGACCAATGCTGATGAATAACCATCATCTTCAAAAGTATGAGGCTCTGCGCTACAGATGTGACGTTGTCTTGGCCCCGATGTGGAAGGAGATGGTAAACAGTGGCAAAAGATTGCCTCTCAAGACAACAAACCCCAAAGTCATCGTGGCCCCTCGCGTAGACAGGCCGGTGCCGATGTTTGTCGCAGCGTTTTCCCTCTTCCCACTTGATGATATTTCTCTTTCCCTCGAGCGCGCCGACTCTCGCGGCCCACATGGAAACGGTTTTAGTTCCGCTTGATCCTAACCCGTCTTTGGACGAGGATTCGGCGCAATCAGCTCCAAAGATTGCCTCCCATCCTTGTGGCTGAGACTGTATAACCCGGGGAGATATCTCCTCCATCTCCACTCACAAACCTAAAACGCCCTGTCCCGGTGTTGACCCCGCCTGCAAAGACGCGCCGCGATATTTTGAGTTGTCATTTCACAGTCGTTCCCCCAAACCCAGAGAATTAAGTGCCGGGAGGAGGAGGGAAGCGCTTGCCGATGAGAACGTTGCTATTCTCTTTTCATTTTATTCATTTTTGAGGTGATTTTCATACCAGTGTTTCATTGTTTGGCTCTTTTTTTTTTTTTTTTTTTTAATAAGGCAATGCAGTTCATCCCCTGGGGTCCGCAAATTCTTAAAAGTACATCATGATATTGAAGTATACTTGTAAAAAAAATAAAAATAAAATAAATAAATACTTAATTTTTGCTCAAACAATAAAGTAGATCTTATTCTAAACATAACAAAAAAAGGTCTCCCCAAATCATTTCCCATCACGTTTTCAGCCCAGACCTGAATTCAAACATACAGTAGCATTGTTTTGATTTTAAATGATTTTATTTGAAATGCTAAACTAAAAATTCTTGACCCTAATTTCACAGGAAGTGGTGTGGTGGTGACAATCCCCCCTCTCACCCCCCCCCCCCTCGCTTGCCTGTTAGCATTAGCGTCTCCTCACCAACAAATTTGACTAAGAGCACTCGACGCGGGATAAAATACGGCCCCCGCAGCACCGTGCCAAGTGTCTTCTTGCAAAAGTGGCGGACGAGGTTCTTTTTACGACGCCATCCCTCATTTTTTTTTCACTGCCACTTGGCAAGCGCGCCTGCCACTTTAAGATATAGGAGCAATTAAACACAAAAAGCGGATCACGGCAGTGTCACCGGTTAATCAGCACTGATGTTTTTTTTTTTTTGTTTTTTTTTTGGGTCACTCTGAACTGGCAAGTGAGTTGTCTGCTTGAGTCTGGACGGTGATCTAACGCCTCGCCAAAAAGGATTCGAAACCAAAAGAAAAGTCACATGCAGCTCCGAAGCTGAAATATTTAATTCCAGTCATAGGTTTTATTCGGATGTCAACAAAATCCCCCCCGAATGCAGAAGTAGTTCCCTTTTATGTCACTTTTTGTGGAGGAGCAACCGAATTGACTCCATGCCTGAAAGCTCAGCTCGCAGTTTCAGGTGCCAATGAGCCTGCCGGGTCCAGAGCAACGCCGGAATAAAATATGTGGACGCTATCAGCTGATGTTTTTCTCGCATTCATTTCAAAGCCCTGTTGTGCGTCTGTTTTGGATCATCACAAAAACAAAACGGCAATTCTCCGGAATGCCTTCACTCCCGTTACACGTGGTTACCAAGGCGGCTGGATTGTTCGTTCTCGCAGGTGTGATATTATTTAGGAAGAGGCCAAGAAGAAATGCACGCATGAAATTTGAACAGTTGGAACTGCTTCTGTTGTTTTTCCCATTCGTAGCGGGTCAAATTGCTTAATATTTTGATTCACAAAAAAAAAAAAAAAAAAAAAAAAACGACAGATGAAGGGAGACAGATTTGGAAATTCCAAGAATTCTTTCCAAGCTGTCCAGAGAAAAGCATCTTAAATGCAAAAAAAAAAAAAAAAAAAAAATTCTCTGCACCTTACCAGATCAGCAAAATACCACCATGGATCAAATTTTATTGGACGCGGCATTTGGTCAGCTTATCATGTTGTCAGGTTACAGGGTGCGTGAAAAGGTTAAAAAAACAAAAACGTTTTCTTCCTCTGAGTACTCTTTTTTTTTTTTTTTTTTTTTTTATAATAATAACGACAAGCCAATTTAAACAAATTACCCCAATTTGGAGATACGTGGCAAATTTGTCATCATATTTCATACGGCGATGATGATGCTAACAATATCCACATGCTTTCCATTGGACAGAGTTGATCTATAAATCAAATGACATCATCGGTGCACCTGCTGTAGATAACACACACACCCCCCCCCCGTCCCTCCTGCGCCCCGCAACAAACGAGAATATTTGCCGTTGATAAATGTCTCCTTTCCGGGCCTTTCAGGCCAGTTTTCCTGATTCACACGCACGCTCGATGATTAAAAAGGAGCGACGCACGCTTGATGACCAAAGCAGACCGACTGGGGGGGGGGAATCCTTGGGCTGGAGTCCACCTCTGGGATGTCCCTACGTCGACCTTCAGCCCAAACTGTTACAAGTCAGAGCCACGGCATTGAAACGCAGCGCATGTGGCCACGTGTGCGCTCCCCATAAATAATTCCCCGTGTCGACCGCGGCCTGTTTCATCCATCAGCGGAGGGTCCGGAAGCCTTCGTGTTCCCAGCAGCGCGGGAACCTCCCAAAACGTCCTCGCGCACACGTCAACGGGTTTTTCAATTAAAGCTTTTCGTACGCTTGCCGGGGTCATTATCCTCCTGATTTAGAACAACAACCGCTTCGGATTGGGTTCCCCTCCTTTGGATTAAATAGTCATTGAGAGACTATTGAACCCCTAAAGTCAATCGCAATCTGCTCCGGGAGGCTCCCCCGTTTGTTCTTTTTTTTCTTTTTTGTCCTTGTCGTAAAAACTTTATGGACTGTCCAGGCAATGTTTTGTGGAACATTTGAACGTCAACTTGGTTGGTATCTCTTTCCGTGGTCTGTGCTCTGTAAACAGATGAATAGACGGATTGACGGCTGTATGGATGGAAAGTGATACAACGGAGGTTGTCGCACAAATCACTTTTTTTTTTTTTTTTGTGGGCAGGGACTTCCGATAATAACGTAACAATTTGAATAGGAGATCATTTTGTGCACAGCCACATTCCTTGTTGGCAGAGGGTGTGTAGAATTGTGCAGCCACATTATAACAGCTGTCTGTGTTTACTCCCCTTTCCCGAAACGACTCGGTCACAAAGATTAGGGGGGAAAAGGTTTTGCAATTATTAATTTTGCTCTTTTTTTTTCCCCCTCATCACCCAGACCTGGCGTTTGAAGACTTTTTATGTCCGTAAGATTCCACGTTGCCTCTCACTGTCTGGACCACCTCATTGTGGAAGCCCCCGCGTCGACACGGTCAACTAGGTGAGATTTTCCGTGTTCTTCCTGAGAGGGTTTCGATGTCACACGTGTCAACAACTAGCCCCGAGAAGCAACATGTGTACCCGACTTGAGGATGAAAGCGAAAGAGGTCGCGGCCGTTTTCCTCCGTCGAGCCGGTGACATAATTTGACGCTGACCATCCTCTTCCCATTTTTTTTTTTTTTTTTTTACTTCTCTTTCATGATCTCGCGTTTGATGTGCTCCAGGATTGTCCTCACTGCAACCGTCCGCAGCTGGCGTCAATTTACCGAGGAGCAGCGAATGAGTCCCGTCCGAGGTGAGCAACTCGACACAAACAGTTTTGTATCCATACAAAAATTGCATTCGACCACATTGCGATGTCGATTTGAATTCGATTCCATGTTCGGCTGTGCCTGTAAGTCAAGGTGCCGTTGTAATGAGGAGAGGATATGACAAAGATTTTTTTTTTATTCCACCTTAAACTGATTTTAAGAATCCAACATGTGATTTTAATCAAAGAGCCTCACCGAGTGTTTCTCAACAAGCCCCGAGATTCCCAAACAAACATTTTCAGGTCCATTTCACGGCTGGCAGGCACATTAGAAATAAAAAGGAGCGCCATGGAACGATTTCCGGCTCAAAGTGTCAAAATAGCCGAGCGAGCATGAAAAGTGGAAGGATTCCCGCTGGTGTTTGTGCCGGGCCAAACGCACGTCCTCGAGTGAGCGACGGCGCCGTGCCGTCCAAGCGGGCCGAAACCGGAGAGTACCAGATGGGATAACTTCGCATCTTTGTGTTGGACGCGCGGGGACGAGGGCTACGAGGAGCCAAGTGCAATCAGACTCCTGTTGTATCCTCCGAAGCTCGCAACAGAGATGAGACTGACGTTCCCGGGCCGCCGCTTTTGCACCTCGCTGCAGGATCCATTAGGAAAGGCAGACAAGCGGAGGAAAAACGGTATATCAGTTAAACGCCATGAAGGGAATTGTTTCTTCTCGTTGGACGGCTTGTGGAGCTCTTCAGCATCTGTTTTCCGAATCCAAATTTCTTTTGTAGCCTCCTTCATTACAACTTCTGAATATCGGCCACAAAGTACAAAACCAAGCGTCTTGTCCCCGTCCAGTCTTCTGGAAGCTGCTCCATAACTGAGCAGATTTCCCCGAGGTGCCTTCCGTGGATTTTCACTGAAGCCACGCTGCGTCAAAACATGCGCGAAGGTCATAAAAGTGTCCGCCTGATGTTTATGTGGCAGATAAAGCAGGCGTGACGCGCCATCCGCAACGTCAACGTCTTCCTGACCACCAACATCTGTTGCTCTATTTTCCAACAAAGCCCTTTAACCTCCATCTCGCCTGCAACTTTATCTGACGCAAAGTTTGGAAAAAATAATAAACCTGATTTGTGACCTGAACTCATGCTTGAAACCTGAATTTGAAAACCCAACCCTGCTGTGAAACCCGACTCTGAAATCACAATCTTGGTCTGAGACCCTAACACTCTCCTGAACACCAATTTGGAATGCCAACCCTGTTTTTAACCCTACTCGGAACCCCAAACCCGTCTTAAATATCTGTAACCTGGTTTGAACCCCTAATTCGACACCCTAATTCAGACTTGAAACCGAAACATAAAATCCCAACCCTGCTGTGACGCCCGATAATAAACCCTCGAGGCAAAGGGAGTGCATGGCGGGAGATTTGTAACCCACGGCAACTGCCTCAACGTCAACTTAAGTGAAGCACTACTCAAGTTTCCTTTTTCAACCCAACGAGGATGCGGCGAGAATTGCGCTGCGCGGCGCCCCGGCCTCTAACTCTGAAAGGAATGAAGAACAAAAGCACATCAAAGAGCGAAATGGCCGCGATCACTCAATTTTACGATAACTTCCATATTTGACTCGAAATAGACGCTGGGAATGGATGCGTCTGCATGTCGCTTGTTGGACTATTTAACGTGCTTATTTTGGCGGGGCTTCCTGTGAAGTGCATCCAGCGTGCGGTTGATTAAACAGCGACGGGTAATAAAGGATGAGAAGCAAATCCACCCCCGAAGAGCCTAGGAACAAAGACCACCGCATGTCAAGCGTTTCAGCCTGCTTGTCTCCCGATGACTTTTCTGCGCCTTTGTTGTGCAGTCGCAGCTCTTTTGCTAGACGTCCCGCTGGCTGCCGGCCAACATGGCCGCACGAAGAAACGATGGGATGTCATAACCCCCCCCCCACCCCTACGCCGCCACGGTTTGAAGAGATCCCCTCCTGGACAACATGCAGTCAGCTTCATGTCGCAATAACAAGGTTAGTTTTGCTATCAGCATGCGCGTCACACTTGAGCTGGCTCGGATGTGTTTTTCTTTTTTCTTGTTCTTGTTTTTGAGACAAACTTAAAATCATCACACTGGTTTGAAACCCGACGATGAAACTGTCACTTGAAAACTTTACCTTGCCTCTAAAAACAGTTAGTAAAAAAATTGTCGACGAGTAGACTCGCGCAAGCTAAAACATGTGTCAAGATGGCAGCCATGTTGGCAGTGACAATGTTCTCATCGAATGGGCAATTGGGCAAACATCTCTCCACCACTACGGTAAATTTGGAATAGAAATATTTTTTGTACCATATGAAAAATGTACATTGCGCTAACCAATCATTTTGTGCTGACCGATGACCCCGTTCCCACAATCACTTCGTTAAATTGAAGTTCCACTGTACTGGAAATGACGGAAGTGTCTAAAAATAAAATCCGTCACACGAAGCGACGCTCTCGGCCGCCACAATGACATCACTCCGCGGACCCAGCATTTCCATCTCGGGAAGTTGACTTCCTGGCGGGACGTGTTTGCGCTCGTCTGTCAGCTGCGGTGATTTATTTGTACTCTGACTTTGTCCCAGAGGAGTTGTAACAGCAACAAGCCGCCCGCCGGCCCGCCCGCCCGCACACGCTACATGATCGCTGACATCCATCTCAAACAATTAAATGTGTTTATTCTCCCCTTTGAGTGGAGAATTATGACTTTGGAAAAACATTTACGGCAGATCCAGCTAATGTTTTATGCTAATGTGTCCCATGTTAGCCGCGCAGATGACAACTGAAGAAGTCATGCGACCAGCATTCATCTCACTTTTTTTTTTAACAAACCCTCATTTGAAACCGTAATTTAAAACCCTATTCCTTGGCTTGACAGCCTAATTTGAAATCCTATTCTTGTCTTGAAACCAAAATTTAAAAGCCGATCCCTCTGCTCAACTTGAAGCCCTAATTTTAAACCCCCTATTTCTATTCCTGGTTTAAAATCCAAATTTAATAGCCTGATTTGAAACCTGGCTTTAACCCTGAATTTGATACCCTGATTTCAAACCCCATTTCTGGCTTTACACCCTAATTGGCAGCCCTAATGTGTAATCCTCTCCCTGTTGAGAAACTGTCATTTGAAACCCGATTACTGCCTTGAAACCAGGATTTGAAACTATACCCCCGGCTTGAAACCCTAACTTGAAATGACTTGAAACTCTCACTTGAAACCCTATTCTGCGTTTGAATTCCTAATTTGAAACCATATTCCTGTCCCGAAACCCTAATTTCAGACACTATCTCTGATTTGAAACCGTAATTTGAAACCCTAATCCGAAACATTTTAGGCAAGTAAATCCAATAACCGAACCTCCGAACGTCACCGAGTACTAAATGTCGTTTACGTGGGTAACAACATCCGACTTCATTCACAGTCAATCCGTTTTTTTTTTCTCCTTTTCTTTTTTTTTTTTCCTCCTTTTTCTTCTTCAGATGTTGACGCCTCGCTGGCAAATGACGCGTTTCACATTGCGTCTCTGCAAAGCGTCGAAAAGTGATTACGTTACATCACACTGGCCTCAAAGCTCCTCAGTGGCTAAAACAACAACTGGGATTTGGGGATCACATGGACGCCCCCGCCGCCCGACCCCCCTCCTCTTCCTCTGCGTTTGCGAGCGTGTTGAAATGCAGACGCCAAAGCTGCGTCTTATGCACAAAAAAAAAAAAAAAGATTGTCTTGAAGTTTTGCGGACGCAGTGCAGCTCAAAGCTTTTTCAAGATCACATTTATGATCACAAACATCATTAGGGAGGAAAAATGTTCGGGCCCGTGGGAGGGATTGGACTGGTGTTCTTCATTTGGCTAAAGAGCTGGGATTCTTACATCTTACGCACACACACACACACACGCACTCGCGCGTGCGTACTGTGGGCCTGGGCGGGTCTCGTCTTCACTTTGTTCAAGCCGAGCGCCTGATTGGAAACATCGGGATCCATGTCCTAACTAGGCCGTCTTAAACAGTTTCATCTGTGCGCGTGCATGTAGAGCAGGTGAACTGTGAAAAAAGGCAAACGCACACCCGCGTGCGCAAACGCACACCGGGAGTGAAGGATGCTCACCCTGGGACTCAGACTGAATATCATACGATGCTAAATGGGATTCACCGAGTGCAGGAAAATCCTATTCCGCTCTTTCCATGCCACATCCATGCCATTTGTCACATAAAACATAACCAAATCTTTGCCGCGCACTTTTACGCCACAAGCACAATAATAGGGTTTCGAATTTAAAATCTCAAAACAGTTTTTGGCTTTCAAGTTCAGGTTTCAAGACAGGAGTATAGTCTCAAATCATGGTATGGTTTCCCAAAATGTAGTTCCTCGGTCTGAAAGAAAACTCCATTCAAAACGTAGAAACCTTTAATGCAGACGTTTTTTTTTCTTCTCCTTTCTATCGCCCCCTACAGTACATTAAGGTGTAGCGCATCTACTTTTGCCGTAATCATCAACCTGTTTTGTGTGCTGTCCATGTTCACACCTCTGGCCGACATCAGGTGAAAACTTGTGCGCAACCAAAGTACTCAACTCCAAGAGCAACCAAAAGGAGCGAACCCTTCACCCCATGAGCCAATCTTTGCTCAGGGGCGTGTCCTCAATATGCTTCTAATCAGTGTATCTCATCAAAATGAAAAAAACAAAAACAAAAAAAGCATCTCTAATCAATGGAATCTTCCGGAACAAAACAACGTGTTTGTAATCAGTCCACACGTGCACGCAACACACAGGCACACACACACACACACACACACACACACACACACACGCACACACACACACACACACACGCATTCGCGCACTCTTGACACGTGTGACATGATGGAACCTTCACGTCATTGTACATGTACAACAGATGTTAAATTCAATATAATCATGTCCTGACAATGATTAATGCTATCAATTCATCTCCCGGCAGCTCTGTGTGTGTGTGTGTGTGTGTGTGTGTGTGTGTGTGTGTGTGTGTGTGTGTGTGTGTGTGTGTGTGTGTGTGTGTGTGTGTGCGGTGACACTTCTGGGAGTCAGCGTGAGGTTGGCGATGCTGACACAGAAATGATGGATGGATGGACGGACGCATGGAAATTCTTCTTCCCAAAAGTCCCCGGCTGCCATCCCGCGCGGGCGACTCGGCCACTCGCATTCACAGGCCATGACAGGGGTAAGGTTTCAAGCCTTGGAAGAGGGTTTAAAAGGAATTTTTTTTCTGACATTTATAAATTGGGATTTCAGGAAAAAGCGATATGGATCAAAATTAGGCTCTCAAAGTAAGGATGGATTTTCAGATTAAGGTTTTTAATGATATCAGCCCGATGGTTTCAAATTAGGGTTTCAAGGAAGGGATCAGGGTTTGGATTAAGGCTTCAAGACAGAGGTAGGGTTTCCAATGGAGGCTTTCAAGCCATGGATGGGGTTCAAAATGAGGATTTAAAGCCAGGGTTAGGGATTCAAGTTGCGGTTTCATCTCAGGGATTAGTTTATTTTTCAATTAGGGGTTCAATGAGTGTTTTAAGCCAGCGATGTGGTTTCAAACAAAGCTTTGGAGTCAGGTAGAGTGCTTCAAAGGAGCGTTTCCGACGAGATCAGCTGCGAGATCGGCGTAGCAAATGAGAATAACTTCTGAATCAAGGTTTCGTGCGTCAATTAATACAGATTTCAAAAAGCCGGGGCTCACGTTTCAAATCAACCGCTGACGCCGCATTTGCCAAACCAGGGAATAGCCGCACTCCCGACAAGAAGTCGTGATTGACATTGGATGCGAGTTGTTTGCTAACTCTCTTCTGGAGGGGCTTTCAAATGTAGTCGGCGCAAATCAGGTCGCCATTGTTGTGGAGCATTAGGGGGTGGGGGCAGGGGCTTCGCCGCTCAGCCGAGTGCCCACCCAAGTGGTCTCGAAGCCCCTCGTCGAAACGCCGCGGGAGGCTCCCAATCCTCCCAAATTGTTTGCATTCAGACGCCGCCGTCACGTAAAACATTCCTGGCAGGCGCCGCCGCGAGAGGAGGCTGGTTTATTGGCGGGCGTGTTACCATGGAGACACTCGGACGGGCTCTTTACAGGATTTGGAACGATGCGAGAGGGCTTTGAAGTCGCCTCTTTATCAGGTTAGGTTCGCATCCACGAGCGAGCCAGCGGTTGACGTATGCCCGGATGAGCTTAAAATGGGTTCCGCTCGGCAGTTGGAATCGAGAAGGGTGCCGTTAGCGTTTCGTCTCGAAATCTGGTTGACCTCGTTATGGATCGGCGTGTCGAGTTAGCTAAGCATCCATTAGCAAGCCTGTGTTGAGAACTGAAAAGGGTTGCGCGAAATGAAATAGGTTCATGTCGTTTGCCGCGTTCCGTCGCTGACTCTGGTGAAAAAGAGTTCAGGCCAGAGTCACGTCTCTTAAACCAAACAAGAATAAACTACTGGCCACGAAAGGATAAAAACGTTGTTTATCCACCAAACAAACCACATTGCTCGAGTCAGTTTTGACATCATGAATGTTGCCGACAGCACTGCGGAGTTGTGCCCACGCTTACAATAAATATTTTGCTCCAAGTCTCACAGGGAGCCTCAAAAGGACGAAGCTTGAGCACCATCGGGGCTCCCGGAATGTGCTTGTTTCGTTAGGGGTCCTCAAGTACCACCCCCATTGCCCTCCGGCCCCCCACCTATTTTTAATTTCTGCTCCCCGTGGCACCCCCGCCCGGGGCCGTCCTGTCTCGGAGGTGCCACGCTGCCAGAGGTTAGCGGGGCCGGCCGGTTCTCAGACGGCATCGGTGCCAAGGCCAACAGTCTGGCCCTGACGGGACCCCCTTCGTGACGCCCCCGTGCCACGATGCTTGTTGTTTCCTAATATGGTCCCAGGCCGCCTTTCCGTAAATTGAGTTTTATTTCTTTTTTCAGGAGAACATTTGTGAACTTTAACACTGTTTTGATCCCGTCTGCGTTCATGCGGTCGGTAAACAGGAATATTGTGACATGACTGTATTAGCTGCCACTTAAATACACAATGGAAAGCACTTATTAGGTTTTGTGGGCTCATCACTCAATCAGTCAGACATGCCCCTTGAGTGACACTTCTAAGGCTCAAGCTGCAGTGGGAACAGACAGATCAAATCTGACCGTGGGACCTGACTACAAGCCCGTCAATCATCCCTTGCCGGACCAGACGAACAAAATGAAAGCTAGCTCACGTACCGACAGCTGCTTGTTCGACGGACGTTATTACAGTTCTGCTTCCGGAGGACGCACGTCTGTCTTTGAATGTAACATACCCGTGGCTCGCTCGCACCAACGTCGCCCGAAGATCAAGAATTCTCGACGCCTTTTTTGACAACGTACTTCATTTAAGGAGCAGAGTCATGTCATACGGCGCTCCATCCCGGCCCACAATGTGTCTTCCGACACACATGCCCCAAAACTGGTCCAGTTCCTGCGTTAAAACCCCCAGTGACCAAATGAGGCGTCAGTGAGGTGAAAAGTAATCCCCGGTGGGCCACGGAGGAGGAAGATTCATTTTGCTTCACCGAGGCAAAATGAAAGACATTTTGAATAAAAAGAGCTCAAGGCATCGAGAAACAAATCTCATCCCGCTTGTGTTGCTGATTATGTGGGACGTCCCGCAGGAAATGAGAACATGAGAACCAACTGTTTGGCCGCAACCTTTCTCTCTTGTCTCCGCTGCTTTCCGACGGGAAACAAATTCAAGTTCAACTCCCGCCGACTTCAACGTCCAACCTGCCAGGTAGACGAGACAAGTCTGAGGAACCAAACCGGCAGTCGGAATGGGGGAAAGTCTTCCAAAGTCACACTTGCCTCATTTGGCCTGCGGACTTCCTGTCGGCTTTTGTTTGCGCGCCGTTAACAAAACGCGCTTGGCTTTTTGATCCTGCCGCCAGCCGCCGCCCGGACGCTCCATTGCCATGTGGAGTCAGCGCACAAGCATTTGTGTGTTAAATGTGAGACGACACCGAGAGCCGCCACCGCCTCTTTGTGTTTCCGTCATTTGAGGGAGAAGAATCCGGAATCTGAAGGAACAAAGAGAAACTTTCCGAGGGATTTGTTGGGTTTTTTTTTTTTTGTTTCCACTTTAAAAACCGCAACATCGCTCTTGATTGACTTAATGGAAGATGTCATGTTTGTGTTCATTGCGGCAATTTAGCTTACAATCAAGATGTGATCCCATGTGATCCCCCTGCTTGATGAGAGCCTTCAAAGCGAACAAGACGGACAAAAGTAACGTGAGAGTCAATTAATAAGTCGAGCAGAATTTGGACGCCAGCCCGAATATCAATTTCTCAACGGTCTGAAGACATTTTAGACCATTTGTGTTTGCGGTAAACGGTTTGGGCGAGTTCCTCTTCTGTTCCCTGGTCTCAGGGCATGCCGGGATGTCTTTGGTGAGGAACGAGTTGAACATCATAAATCTTCCTGGCGGGAGCTGCTTGGGGATGAATAAGGAGAAAAGAAAGCGCAGAACGCAACGGCAGCAACGATATCCACTGGGACATGATTGGGGGAACCTGGGAATAATCAAGGGGAAAAAAAGAGAGCTAAGTAACACATTGACATTTGAATTTTGGTCTGTTTTGCTCCCGCTTCTCCTCTCTGCCTCTCACCGCCCCTCTCCCGCAATTGTTGCTTTCAGGATTCTGCATTGACCCACCAAGGGAGGACCTGAAGAGAACCGCTTCCCCCGTCACAGTAAAAACAACGCCTGCCGGAACCTGGTTGGGAAACCTGGAGATAGACGAGGAGAACCGAAAGAGAGCAGAAAGCAACAACACGATTTACAACATCTGTTTGGACCTCGTTCGGGAACCCAGGCGAGTAGAACTGTTGACCCAAGCGACCTCCATTGTTTTCTTCACTTCCCTGTCACCGGAATGCGTCTCAATACTTTTGACCGCGCGGCGGTGGCTGTCGAGGAAGTGCCGATGCGCGATTAAATGATGTTAGCATCTCGAGGACCGTTTGTCTTTGTGGTAGCAATGAGTCCCACTGATTTGACAGGGAAAGTGCGATCGCAAGATGAAATGAAAAAAAAAAAACGCGACAATCACGCAACATGTGTTTGTCTTTTCATGTTTGCGACTTGAAAGAACGACGACAGCAACAAAAATCTCTAATGAGTGTCTCAACGAGGACACAAAAGAGCGACGGCCAAGCGTCTCCATGGAGACAATATAGATCTCCTTTATGCGTTTGTGAAAGAGAAGACTGCGCCGCTTCGCTAGCGACAAAGCGGGAAGGAAGTACGGCCCCACCCTTTTGCTCTACCTGACTGCCATTGAAGGGGGGGTGGGTGTGGGGGGGGGGTGTCACGGTGCAGGATATTGTTACTAATAAAGAGAAGAAAGAGGCTAAGCGCTGCCAGCCAGCTGCAATTAAACATGAATACTGTTATTGTGTTGGTGGGCTGAGGCGGGACCTGAGCGGAACGTGGCTCGGCTTGATTTACGGAAATCCCGAGAACACGTCGTTTTGGGTTTTTTTTTGTTGTGTTTGTTGAAGTCGAATGTTTGGAATTTTGACAATAGGCTTATCTTTACCTGCGCAGTTTGAGAGATTTTTTTTTTTGACTGGCGTCTTGTTTTAACTGGCACAACTTATTGCAGATTTTCTATCATTCAGGGGGAAAAAAACAAAAATAGTGTTTGTGATGATGTCAGGAATTCAAAAAGGCGTTGCCACGTTTCCCCCCCTCGCCACTTTTCCCCACCCTTCCCGCCCAATCTCTCGCCCAACGCTCCGAGGCCACTCTCGCCTGGTGAAAACAGGAAAGCTTGTGAGCGGACCTGGAGCGACTCCAGTTAACACGCAAGCGGCCATCCACGTGTTTATCGTCTTATATTCCGGCCTCCTTTGATCCTCTCGCCACATCTGGCGCAGGTGAAGGACCCGCATTGGTACACTTTCCGCCGAAGACGCTGACTTGGGACCGTTACTGGTTCAAGCGCCACATGCGAAAACGGGGCAGCCCGCCGCGAGGAGGGCGCGCCGACCTTCGCAATCGCTAAATGCCATCGTTTGGCGGCACGTTTGCTTACTTTCAGTGTTCCTGTGATTAGTCCAGGAAATGGATGATTATAATTTGGGCCAAATATTTAATGTTCCCATTATTTGAGCGGGAGTGCGTCATGGCCAGCCCACCACGCGTACAATAACAGTGGGGCAGATTCCCACAGTGAGGCTGCGCGCGCGTGCACACACACACACACACACACACACACACACACACACACACACACACACACACACACACACACAGACCACCGGTGCAGCACACACCTGAACACATTAAGTGAGGACATACAAGAATATCTTCAGATTGTTTAATGTAGCTGTCATCATTAGGATCAGTGACTACCACCCAGATTTCAGTAGACCCACAAAAAAAAAAAAAAGTCTCACAAAACTATACCTGAGAATAAATACACAGCGATCCCGCAATGTTAGTTGGGCGTGGCCATTTTAGGGTAATTTTGGTTGAATTTGGGGGGGAAATTCAGCCCCTGAAGCCTGTTTAACTTGGCAGAATTATATATGGTATCCGTTTCCATCATGAGCAGAGCCACAAAAAAAAGTCTTGCAAACCTGTTTGAAAAGACAAAGGAAGCCATCCATTTTGGTTTGAAGTGGTGATGCGAATTGGTCATTTCCTGGGATCCTTTGAATTTGGGTAAAATTCATCACATGAAGCCGCAAAGTAACTTGCAATTATGTGGGCATGTCAAACTTAAGTAGACCCACAAAAAAGTCACCATGCCCCAAATTATGGTTTCAAGCTTTTAGTTTGCGTTTGTTCAAATTTTGGGGAAATTTATCCTTCAAAGCCAGTTTCAATTGTTAACATGGACACGGTGAAGTCAGCGTCGTCTTATGCCGCTGCAAAAGTACTCGCAGTGATAATTGGCATCAAAGTTGACGGATGTCACACGGTTCAAATTCCATCTCGCATTTGGGATTCTGGAATCCTTAAGATTGAGGAACGTCGCCGCTTGCCAGTCCCACTCTCAGCCGAAAGCGAGCATGTTGCTCGCAGGGACTGCAGGGCAACATCTGTTTCTCGGCACTTTGTGGCGCACATGTGGTCTCTTAACCTTAACAAAGACGTCTTCATGTGGTTGACCATTTATTTTCCCAGCCGGCAAAGCAGCACATTCGTGCCATATTTTCTAATCAAACTAAAATGGCCTATAACGCCCTTTTTAAAAAAAATCTGATGTGAGAGAAACCACATGAAGATCCACGAGAAGCTCTTTTAATTTCCTGAGTAAACTCAGGTGGAGCTCGGCGACGTTGGCGAGCGGAGCCGCGTCGCCTCTCGGCTCGTCGGATTTAACGACCTCGCCGCAGCCGCTCGCAGCGCGTCGGCGTGTGCGCTTGTGGAAGAGTCACAAGCCTTCCTGCGGTTGCCGCTTGAGGCTGCAAACGCCGTCGACCCGCTGCAGTGACGTCTGCACATCACCTGGGACGTCAACCTGAATGCGGCGGATGCGGCGGCGTCCAAAAAGGAAAGTAAAACATCGCCCGCCGAGAGAATCATTGTTTTTTTTTTTTTTTTTTTAGGAAAGTGCAACATCTTTTTTTCTTCTTTTAACCCTTTCAGGCACAGCGGTGACTACAGTGGACATCTTATCATGTGATCAGGTTACAGGGTGCATGAAGGTGGGGGGGGCTGAAAACATTTTTTTTTCTTGTGTGTGATCGCAATTGCAATTTGCACATGCGTAAAAATACAATTTCTCCCTCGCTTAAGTGATTTCGCAATTCATCACGGGGCTCATTAACGTCTGCTGTGAAACAACTTCGATAGCAGCACAAGTTATGTGTGCATGTGTGTTGTGACTTGATGGCGGATATTTCCTCTCACCAGCTTGCTATTTACAGAACGCCCGTAATGACTGGACGCCTGATAACAATCTGCACGTTCTGGCCCGCGTCCAGAAACCCAAGTCCTGAGAGGCGCGAGTGTGACCGCCGCGCACTCTTCGCGCAAAGCGCTGCAGTCTTCCATGAAGACAATACACTCGAAGTTGACATGGGATTCCCTGCGAGAGTCACAAGGAATGACTAGCAGGGAATGCTATGCGGGGGGACATCTGCAGACCGTAACGGTAACAGACAAAGGTGCTGGCGACCTTTTTTTTTGGGGGGGGGGGTTATCATCGGGTCGTCCATCCTCATCATTGCGCGTGTTGTCCCAACGGTTCATCTTGGACTAGTCATGTAACCGGAAGAGGACCGAAGTCCCTGGCTCATTGTTGAGGCTTGACCCCGAGGACCGGAAAAATGGAGAAGCAAGGCCCGGGTGACAGTGGATTGTTAGTTTCCGTCCACGCGAGCGATAACATTGCAGTGACGCCATCTTGTTTGGAACGGTGTGAAACTACCGTTTGCAGGGATGTCAAAGTAAATACAAACAAAGCAAGTTTTGTTGTGGGATCATTTCTAAATACAAAAACAGTTGAGAGTGAGGCTATTTGGCCTGGAAAAATTTGCGTTCAACATGGTGATTTTTATTTTTTTTTTTTTTTACGAAAGTGTCCCATCAATTCTTATTTTTTATGAAATAACGAACATTTTTAACAGACAGATAGTTGTCGTGGCGGACATGGCTCAAGCAGTCTTGTGTAGACTTGGCATCTCGCTTCCAATCCAAAAAGCTGGCAGCCGACTCGCGGCTCAGACTTCACCTCCACTTCCTCATTTCCTGCTCTGCTGCCAGTTGAGTGCAGCACAAGTAATTGCCCGACACTTTTCCCCACTCGGGCGCACGGGGACTCATCGGTAGTGAACCCAAACGGGCCTAATGATGGCGCTGGTATCTAAATGACCCCCACAGCACCTCAACCTGTTTATGTCTGGTGGCCAGTAAGTAAACTCTGGTGTTTGGTGGAGAATGCAGCAGATCTCTTATCGGCCCCTCCAATAGTTCATTTTCAGAATTATTACTTTTTTTTTTAAACATCACTAGGCCTGTAAATGACACAATGTTGAAATGCGCAACCCAGAGCACATAAAAATACATCACTGGATGATTTTTTTTTTTTGTGGTGAAGTATGACCTAATTCCTCTCTGGGAGGTGGACGACATGGACACGGCACTCTTGTACGCTCGCAGCCAGAGAGGATTAAGTGAGACCGAACGCTGCAAGCAAACTGGTTCCCATCCAACATGTGCTTGAAGAAAGTGATGGGAGGAGGCGAAGCGGGCCAGGAGTCCAAACTAACTGCGACCCAAAATGTCAGCCGACAGGTCATGTTCATTGTCAAAATATTAGTTATGAAAGGTCCTAAGGTAAACATTTTCCATGACGAGTGGTTTCAATTGAGGGTTTTGTCATGTACCTATTTGGAATGGACATTTGAGTTTCTGTTTAAAGCAGTGGTGGGATATTTGTAGTGTTCACCTGTGTGAACAAGTCACGCCCACAGGAAGTGCACCAAAGAAGAACAGGAAGTGGGGAAGAGATTTAGTGTGACACACCCACAGGAAGTGCACCAAAGAACAGGAAGTGGGGAAGAGATTTTGTATGACACCTATACACAGATACAGGTGCAACTGCAGTTGGCTGAATGGCTGGCAGAGTGAATAAAAAAACCAGAAGACAAAAAGTCATCCTAATAATAATAAATTGTCGGATATCAACAATGACTTTGCATGGATTATTTTGTGGAGCAAGTCTGGAAAGAAAATCTTCAAATCTGCTTGGAGGAACTCGTGACCCACCTGCTTGGAAGACAATCGACATCAAAGTAAGAGCAGTTTTTTTAGTACTCTGGCTTGAAAACACAAAACACACACGCCAGGCCGCTCAGCTTGCCAAACATTTCATGCTTGGCGGCCATCTTGACTCACCAACCAAACAAAGCAGGGGTGTCAATGAAACGGCCATTTTGAAATAAAAGCAATTTGTTTCTCATTTGGGCCATTAGAGGGCGCACTGACACCCACCTAAATGACAATTTACCTGAATAAAATGAGTTTTGACACCCCTGGTTTGAAGACCACTGACCAGTTTCACACTCTGCCTTCATTGATTGATGTTGGTGCTGTTGCCATTGAAGCGGCGGCGGCTGCTGCTGCTGTTGTCGTCATTGATGCGGCTGTTGATGTTATTGTTGCTTCTATCATTGCTTATTCTGTTGCTGTTGAGCAACCTCCAACTGGGTCCCAAAACGGTTCCTTAAGCCGCAGCGACCCAGGTACCTGCAGACCCAGTTGCCGGCTGTTGACTGGGAACTGTTCGTAGCCCGAAGGCACGCCCAACACCTCTTGGAGGTCGTTCCCAAGTTGGGCTGTTGTTGTTGTTGTTGTTGTTATTGTTGCTGCTGCTGCCCCAGTTCTTGCTGCTGCTGTTTTCTACCTTCTGTTGTTGCTGGGTTGTTTGTTTGTGTGTGTTTTATTCAACCACTGTTATAGTTGTTGCTGCTGCTGCTATTTTTTGCCCTTTGTTGTTGTTGTTGCCGCTATTGCTGGTTTTTGTTTTTTGTTCAGTCACTGTAACAGTTGTCGTCACTGCTGCTGCTGCTGTTTTCAGCCTTCTGTTGCCGCTGCTATTGCTATGCACCGTATGTTGAATGTGTATGTATGTATGTATTTTTTTACTACTTGAAACCAAAATGTTTTTTTTGTCTCGGGGGAAATTTACAAATCCGACGTGGGTTATTGAACTTCTTTTTTTGAAGTTTAATTTCAATGTTGCAGCTCGGCTTTTTCCCCGGAGTGATTAGATCACCACTTTTTCCAAAGGCCAAAATCTCTTCAAAGGCATCCTGTTGCATGCTTTATCAATCATATGCATTTGATTTCACGTCGCTTTTATTAAAACCCAAAAAGTTGAGTACTTACAGGGGAGGAGGTCGCCCTTGACAATTGACTTTCAGGACGGGGATATACTTTTGAGGCTTGAAAATATGTAAAAAAAGTTTGTGATCATAAACTCTGTGGTGTACATCATTGCTAGTGTACTTCTGTCAGATTCCCATCAAGTAAAGTCACCAGCAGTCCGACTTAAAACCCAAATAACACTTCCGACCCCAGCGAGAATGCAAACAAATCCATCCCCGTCGCGCCCGCCTCGAACAGGGAAAGCGGCGCTGACGGACGTGATGTGAAGGCCCCCATCGGCGGCCGTTCCGGCTGGTTGACATGGGGAAGAAAATTTCCTTTCGTTGAACTTGTGTGTCCGACACGCCGAGTGACTTCTCCCACGCCGCTTTGCCCTTCTTTTTCCCGCGCGCCACATTGTGGAGTGTCTGTCGTCTTCCGGTGTGGATGTGTGTGTGCCTTGCGAATGAGGATAAGCTGAATAGAAAATGGATGCCGATATAAATGTAGGCTGAGCAACCAGTGGTGGGTGAAAGGATAAATAGATCAGTGGACTGATATTTCATCAGCTTTTTTTGGGGGGGGCTCTTGGATGGTTTTCCTTCCACAGTATTGGCATCGGTTGCAACAACCCCCTGCTCTCTCTTACAACCTGCAACCAAGGTGATTGAAACCATGTGAGAGATGAGGCAAGTTCTGGAATCGTTTTTCCGTATGAGCTAAGTTTACTAAAGTCCGCCCCTGAAAAGAGCCCGCAGCAGGTGGCAGAAAACCTCACAATGTCACCTGTCTCCTGTGTGTGTGTGTGGGGGGGGAGAAAGTGTTACTATCGGTAGCTTTGCTTTACGGTGTGGCATGAAGAACAAAAAAAAAAAAAAGCCAAATTAGCTCCTGGTAACAACTGACAAAAATACAGAGCACCTTACCTGTAGGTTGGTTTGTCAGATTAGACTAGATTTTTTTTTTTTTTGTTTTCGTAAATAAATCACTGAATACGTGGATAGGTGAATGAATTGATACGATGGTTGAACGAATGGCTGAATGAATAAGTAGGTGAATGGATGAGCAAAGGAGGTGTGAATGATTGAGTGATGGATGAAATTAGTACTGTACATTGATCCTTCAATATTTTCATGGATGACTGGACGAATAAACACATCGGTCGGTGTGGGGGGATTCAAATCGACGGAAAAGTGGATGAACGATGGAACAGAGAGCGTTATTTTCGCGCAGCGTGACATGATGAGGAGCTGAGAGGCCGCGAACATGACGTGATGCTGCGGTTTTGCTCCGGAGTGTCATGCGATTTACCTCAAGCGACCTGCGATGATGTAAACCGACTGCCACGATCATCATCATCAGTCACGCTGGCGTTTAAACTGTCAAACTTGTCGCTCCTCAAGCACGCCGCGACCATCCAGTCAGCAGGAAACGCCGCCAACGAAGGAGCGTCGCACCATTGACATCATGGGGTTTGTTGGTGGCTGATTGGGTGAGGGATTCATCTCGGAGAGGGGGGGGGGTTCGCAGGGGTAGTGTAGTATATGCTGAGCAAGAGGAAGTCGAAGTGAGCCGTTAGGGTGACTAAGAGGAAATTGTCGTGCTATCAGAGGAACCCGAGCTTGATTGGAAGTGGGCCATTATAGTGCAAGGGACAGATAAGAGCGCAAAAGGCTTTTTTTTGAAGGGGGGGCAATTGCACACTGCAGATCTCCCAAGATAATGCCCCCATTTTAAAGTTTTCAGCTTGTGTTGCTGTGCCAATGTAATTTGCCCGAGTGCAATAATAATAAAGGCCAAACAGGACTCTTGGTCATGTAATTGCTCGGCGGGCCCGATTAAAGAACGGAGTGGGCTGTTAGTGACCCGCAAGCCGTATTTTGTGCAACACTACACTCGGCATGAGCGCGCGCACACACACACACACACACACACACACGCGCGCCGGGTGCACGCTAATGGGCCAATGAAAACATGCGCAGGGCGAGCGAGGGGGGAAGTGAGTGCTTAAGAAAACAAACAAGAGGCAATAGGAAGGGGAAAAGGACAATTTCCACGTCCAAATATTAACGCAATCAAGAGCGATTAGTGCCTGTGGGACGGCGGGATGGCTTGTTTGCTGAGTAACTTGGACGACATTTTCACAGTTGCCTTTTCCTGTTGTTGCGTTGACAGCAATACAGTCGAGTAACAAATGGACTCTTGAGCCACTGAGTGATATTTTCTGGTTGTTATTGTTTGGGGGAGTCTGTCTCGTCTGGGTTGACCGGAAGAAAAGAATTGGGGGGGGGGCGGCAAACAAACATCATCTTTTCTGTCTTCATCTTAACTTTAAGCCAATCCGCAAAGTCGATCCAGCTCCGATGTTCCCCTCAGTTCAAAGCCTGCGGCATTTCACACCTTTTTACCGTTTTTTTTTTTTAAATGATACTCAACTACATAGTCTTCATTTGAATTATAAAGTCGTTTCGTAATCAAGGGCTCAAATCCCCCCGTATAATTCACATTTGATGTTTATATGAGGCTTATCTAATGTGGTCCATTTATGAATTTGCGCCTTGCGGAAGCCAAATACGCCATCAAATTCTTTTATCAACACTAAATCTCTTTAATGACCCAACTTTTTGTACCGTTATCAGGAACATAAAAACGATTTATTTATCGGCTCATCGTCGGTCTACTGTACTATTCACATTTATGGCTCATTTGAGTGTCATCTGGCGCAGCCCAGAGACCACTTAGTCAATTAAAATGATCTGGAATGACCACGTCGTTGGAAAAAGGCCCTCTTTTTTTTCTTTTTTTTAACCACTTCCTTGTCCACAACGATGCGCGCTATGCTGATTGCTTTGGTGCGTCATTACTCATTTCTGAGGAAACGTCTTATGGGCCGCAGCACTTCGACATGCAACAGTGTGGTTTTTTTTTTCATGCCTTTTTATTTTATGCTACCCTGACTGCGGATGGTATGATAAACGATGACTACTCCGCCATTTACGCTGTGCGCACGTGTTGTCACCCTGGCCACCCCAATGAAACCTTTCTAACTCCGTCCCTGCGTTCAACCTCGAGTACGTCGTACCACAACGCGGCAAAGGATTCTACCGCCATGATTGACAGTTGCTTTCAACAACTTCAACCGGCGGTCCAGTCAGGTTTCCTAGTGTTGCTCACAGCTGTAACTGGAGGTCTTGCAGAGCAAATCACCCCCCCCCCCACTCCCACCCCAGGTTCCCTTTTGGCTGGCCGAGCCGGTGTTTGCGAACTGATGTGATTTAGGAGGCTGTACTGTCATTGATCAACTGTCAACACATCCTGTTTGCATCTCTGCTAGTGTGTGCTAGGTGAGTGTGAGTGTTCGCCGAGCGTTAGCACTCCCTTGTCGCTCGTAGCTAAACGGCAGGAGGGGCCGCGGCGACGTTGGAATGCCGAGACGATCAAACGTACATGATGTGCTTGAACTATCCGTGTGGTGCAGGGGTGGACAAACATTTATATTCAAGGGCCAAGGTTTTAGAGAAAAAAGATTATTTAATGGACAAAAAAATAAACAAATGCATTTTTATTCACCAATATTAGTAAAAAACAGCTAAATTAACATTTTTTGATATATGCATTAAAATATTGTATGGAATTAATTGTAAGTAAATAAAATGGAAAGACATATGGGGTTCAATTATTTAAAAAAAAAAAAACTTCACTGGGATTGACTTGGCCTAGCTGTCTTATTACAAAAAAATAGACAAAAAGTTTGCTCACAGCGCCCACTGGTGGCGCTGTGAGCAGTCAAACGTGCATCAGAATCAAAGTTGGGAATAAAAACAAAGCTCGCGAGCCACTGAGAAGTCCACTTGGGAGGAAATGGCGCTGCGTGTTTCGTAATGTCGGGCCTTGCTGGCGCCGGTGGGGCAAGGTTTGAGGGGGTGGGGGGGTCGGGGGTTAGGCCCCGACGCGTCCCATCGGCGTAAAATAAACACAATACACAAGTTGTGTGTACGGCTTGGTCCCGCTCGACTTGGCATCAATTGGAGGCAGATGTTTGCGGCCACGAGTGGAGGATGGCGTCAAAGGTGGCCTGCAAGAGTTGGAGCCTATCCCAGCTGACTTTGGGCGAGAGTAGTATAAACTATTTTCAAAACAAAACAAAACAAATACATGTAATTGCAATTCCCAACTCCATATTGTTGCGATTTTTTTTTCCCCCCCAAGTCCTGGGCTTTATCATCTCTTCATGTTCATGATACAATACGTGAACTTGTGGCCTTGCACTTAAAAAAAACTCAACGCATCTTGACATTTTATACATAACATTGTAAAGTCGATTTGAATTTGATGAATTTGTTCAACTGTGGTCGAGAGGCGAGTCCAGCCTGGACTGGTCGTCGATTGAGTGATTTATCAATTTGTTGCAAAGAAAATAATTAAAGTAATGTTAATGTTTGCATCTCTCAAATAATGACTTTACACTCTTTTTTTTATCTTTTTATTTGGATCAATACATTTCACTCTCATACTCGCATAGCCTTAAGTGTTTTGTCAAAGCTTTCACCTTGCCAACACGTGCCCAGCACGTGCAACGGAGCCCTAAATTTTGCTCCACTGCGCCCCCTGCTGCACAAATGAGTATTTCCTAAGAACTTCTCTGTTGGGACAAAAGTATTGGGGGGGTTCACACTTTGCTGTAACACCCCAAAAATTCTCTAGGTGGTAGTGTTGACCTTCAAACTGCCTCTCATAAAGGGTTTTTTTTTTTTTTTTTTTGGTGGGCTGTTTTAATGTGACGTTTTTATCATGAGGTAAAGTGTCAATGTTTTGTTAATTAATGGCGAAACAGACAGGCGAGAGTAATTTACTACGCTTCATGCTTGTGTCATGTTCCCAAGAAGAAAAACCTTTCATTTCTCACTGTAAAACTCAAATTACAAAGCATGATGGGGAAATGAAATCGTTTTTTTTTTTTGTCAAACTACGCCAACTATTTTGGGATCTTGTGACCATTAAATATTTGCCTGGACTTTAAAATCATTCTACTTAAGCTAAAATGAGTTGCCAATAAACAATAAAATTCTCTCAAAAACATGTCCCCTTTTCCCACTAACGCTCTAGCGTACAGTGACAATTGTTAGATTAATTTTTTTCCGTTGGTTAGCATAGCAGCTGTTAACTGTTTTGCACTGAAGCTGTTCTCCATTAGAATTGCACCTAAGCACAGGGCACCTTTTTGAAAGTTCTCACCAATCAGTTTTGCGCCAGCTCTTAAGAATTCACACACAATTTCTACAAAAACAAAAAAAAGAAGAATTCTGGAGTTTTCTTGAAAATGTAGCATCCCGCAATGTTTTGTGCCCTCATGCTGACCTGTGTGCCATGTGTCAGGTTACATCTTGCATCATACGCGGTTACCGGTCCCCTCTCGTCTCCACTCGGGCCTCACGGCACCGCCGCCGACACACGAGCCCGTAGGCGAGCCACGTCTGCTTCTGCTCAGGTCAAAGTGAAAGTGATGCCGGGCCGTGTTGTCCTCCCGCGGGAGGGGGGGGGGGGGGGGGGGTTGTGGTTGTGCCGATGTTGGAGCCAAAGGCAGCGGGAGGAAGGAAGTGAAAACCTTTCAAATTATGTTTTATGACATTTTTTTGAACTTTTGTACTTCTGCTCGGCTTGGGATAATTTTTTTCCTTCTCAATCGCTAAAAAGTGACCCGCGTTCGTTCGCCTTGCCACCACCTATACATCTATACACGTAAAAACCATGAGAGGGTTGGAGGTCGACGACGGACATATTAGCTTCATGCAGTTTGAATGTTTCTGGGAAAACAAGAAAAAACACAATTTTTATCGAGTACATTGGTATTTTTAAAAATGAATACTGTATGGTAACAGTAAGAAACTAAAAACAGGGCTGTATAAATAAATGTGATTTGACTTTGAGGAGGGGGTAAACAACAATTTTAAAACTCTCATGACATACCGTTAGCCTGTAGCAAATTTGCCCAAGTCGTTTTTAACTTACTTTCTCTTTCTCCAAAAAAAATAGCACGGTGCTTGCCACAAATGTTACTTTTTCGTCGTCGGTGTAGAGGCTGAATTGTTTGATTTAATTTTTTTTATTGAGAATTTACGTTCTTGTTTTTTCTGAAAACATTCACAAAATCACTTATTACGCTAATAATAGCAATTACCGTTGCAGCCACGGTGCAGGTGAACTATACCGAAAGAAACGTCGGTCGCTGTTTTCAAAAGGGACGTGGAAGACGTGGATTTGAAAGACTTCCCAGAATTCCTTGCTCTCCTGCCAGCTAATGCGTTTAGCAGCGTCAGGTACACGCAAAGCTCTAGTGGCCACAAACCGGATGGACTTGGACAAACTTTACAGTTGACATCTGGAATATCCTTTGCTCTGCCTCCTCCTCCTCTTCTTCATCTTCTTCTGTAAAAGCGTCAGGCGGAGAAATGTTTGAGTGCAGACGATGGCCAGCGTAGCTCATGGCGGCCGTCACTCATGGTTGACGTCAACCGAAGTCACATCAGACGCTTAGCGTCTTATCAAAATAGCATTTACGTCGTCGCTGCCAAAAGGGTCATGACATCATGCCTGCTAATTGTAGCTTCTCTCCAGCATCAAGCATAAACTGGTGTTCTTTTGCAGACTTTTTTTCGCGTGCCGTTTGGGGAACCTGGGGAACATTGACCTGCGAATAGGCTACAAATATTACACACTCTGTATGGGTGTATTTTTTTCTTGGGTTACTATTCACTATCAACAGTAAAGTAGACTTGGGATAACAAAACAAAACATTACTTGTCTCTTTGTGACACTTTAGAGCTTCTTGTACATCGCGTGCGAGCAGCCCGCCAACTAAAACTCAGTCGGTGTGGCGGCCAGGCCCCCTGGGAGCCCCCTCAAAGATGATGCGCTTCTGTTTGAAGGGACTCGGGCGGTACGCCGGGCGACCCTTGAGGGAGGCACTGCGCTCAGTGCGGGCCTCTTCAAAGCGTGTTTCCCCAAGCAGGAAGTCGAACCCTGTGCTGCTGCTTGGAATTGGGAAGGAAGGTGACTTGTGATCATGTCACCGTGCCAACGCCCACGCATGCCAGTGTTGAGACACTTCCCAACAATCACTCACTTAGTCGTACAAAATTATCTGGATGAGTGTTTATGTTACAGTAGAGGTACAAAACATCCATTAGCCTCAATCGTATTGCAACCATGTAACATTTCCTGAAGTACAAGTTGCCATGTCAGTTCCATGGCATTTTAACTTTTCGGTATTCGCCACCAGAAACCGACGATTGTATTGTCATAGAACTCATGAAATGAACTTATGAATGTGAACGCATAGGGGAGGAGAGGTGCATCCTGGGACATTCCAGTTTCAGACAATCTTGAGCATGAGTTCCCCCCGCAAGGAAGCTTTTTAGTCGGAGAAGAGTAAAAGCCTCCAATCAGTCGCTAAAGTCAACTCATCTGTTCCCGAAGAGCCACAAAGCTGTTCCAAGTGCAAACCACTAGAGAGCAGTCTTCACGGAGCAGCTATTAAGTCATTATATGTTTGGAAGAAAAATCTCGTGGGCTGCCAGGAACATCTCAGTGTGCCGCAGCAGGAGGGGGGGATGGGGGGCGGAAGGGGGGTAGACCTCATGGCGTGGTGTCAATGAAATGTTTTCATTGTCGTAACTCAAAACAACATGGGCTGCATTCATACATACACGATTGTGGTCAGTCTGCTGAAGGATGATGTAGTCTACTTTTTTATTTTTTTTTAATTAAAGCAACTATTTCTTCTCTACACTACTAACTCAAGTCTGACTTTGTACATTGAATCATGTTAGCACTTGGAGGCACTCGTGCAGTGTCAGTAGTTGGCAAATGAACAGACGTACAAAGTCATGGTAGCACTTTGAGAGCGAGTTAGCCCATCGTCGGCAGTATAAAAGGTCACGTTCGCACTTTTTCACCAATGTACAAGGTCATGTAAGCCAACTAAAAATATATATATATATTCATCAAACCCTTGAAGCACTTTAAGGTGATGTTAGCATTTACTCATCCATGTAATAGGTCACGTTAGCAGTTATAGGTCATTTTAGCATCCCGGCAAGGTCAATGGTCATGTAAGTACATTTTTAGCAAAATAACATTCATGTCCCGTACTTCAGGTCAGACTTCTTCATGTTAGCAATATGGATGTGTTTACTTTAATGGAAGGTTTGCATCTTCAAGGTCATCTCTAGTTCCTTTTATTTTGCACATTCTCATCCAACGTAATAGAGTAGAAGGTCATGCTAACCTGTCAGACAGCTAACGTTCAAAAACCGGGTTCTTTGTTAGCACTTCTTGACCAACATACAAAATCATTTAGGACTTCATCGGAAGAATCTACAAAATAATGTCGGTGCTTTATATAAAATGTTAAAAATTGTGATATTTGTAGAAGAGAACATTGGTAGCTACGGACCTGAGTTATTTATTTTTATTATTTATTACTTTGCCTATCCAAGTCCACGTGAGTTGGAATCTTTTTTAAATATGCAAAGTAAAGAAAAATAGTCACAACTTTTAAGTTATAAAAAAAAAAAAAAGTTGGCATGTTAATTTTTATCGCGCCTGAAGGTACGCGCTAACTCTCGCTAACATCGCTTAGCCGTGGATGTGTGACACGCTGCTAATATACCTTCGCTCCGTGCACTCCGAAGCAACCTTTGCCTGCACGTGATTGCAATCAGGCATGATCGTTTGCACGTGTGAGTGCTTTGTCTCCCCCGCCACACACGCGCGCACACACAGAGCGTTTAATGCAAGATAATGTCAACAGAGTTTGGAGTGAATATGCACAAGCATAATTAAATCCCACACGGTGCCTTGGGGCTAATAAAGTACAGCGAGTAGTCGTGTTTTCACATTGTGTGAAGCTACAGTAGTCTCGGTAGCCAACTCTTGAACCATTATCGTAATTATGTTGTCTCTGTTTTGGCTAAACATCGTTTCGTGATGCCGTGCTCGCATAATTTTTGCTTGAGACTTTTTTCGGGGTGGGGGGGGTTGCGCTATCACAGTAAGTGAAATGTCGGTGCTCGTCATGGTTGCGGTATTTGATCACGTGAACACCGTGACCTCATCTCAGCGTCCTCTTCTCCCGCCGGTGATGTTCTGACCGCACGCGGATGTGTCAAGCAGATGGAGGCTGACCAAAGCTCGATTTCCCGTCTCTTAAAAAGACTCCCAACTTTTTCCGAGCATTTGGTAAAGGAGAGCTATGTATTTTATTTTTTTTTCACAATATGAAACAGGTGTCCTAATAACATGCTTGCGGTGTGCCTCTCATCAAAATACTCAAGGATATCAAGAATTAGACGGATTTTACAGCGTATTTCTTGCCGCACCATGTCAGGCCCGCTCCCATTTTTTTTTGTTTGTTTTATTTACAGAATAACCATCGTACCATCCATAAACTATATTTCGTTTGTACGCTCCTTTTAGCGAATACAAGCTCATTCGAGAGTGACCAATTGGATGCTAATGCTAACATGCTAATTGCGCAACTACTTCTCAACATTGAGTCTGCTTCGTGCCATACTGGAGCTCCACATGGGGCTTTTATCTGAGCGCGCTGCCGCGTTATAGTTTATTATCGTGGTTAAGCGGAGTTCAAGAGAAAAGCTTCTTCCTACAGTAATTGGGGGCTCTACTCTGGTTGTATGTCGAGGAAACTGGCAGCAGTGTGAAGTGCGTCTTGGCCAGACAAACGGCAAATTCAGCCCATTTCTCAGCAGAGCAAAAAAAAAAAAAAAAAACCCCACTGCAATGCTAACCATACTGCTGGCTAACAAACACCATATCATCCATTGAACGATTGATGCCGTTTGTGTAGTTCATTCATGTTTTTGGCCCGCATGGGAAAACCGCTTTCTCAATTACGAATAAAGATCGAGTTTTAATTGCAAAAAAAAAAAAAGCTTTTTATGGCTAGCGCGCGATCGGAACGTGCTATCCAAACGCACAATAATAAGTTCCCAATGACAAACACATGGCCTACTATACCGCTTTGTTCTCATTGGTTTTGAAGGACAAAATCCCCAAAGCACATGTGCCCACTGGAAAGTTCGCGGGAAAAAATACTAGCCCACTTTCACTGATCAATGTGAAATTAGGCGGACATGACTATCATGCAATGCTAACTTGCAAAGATTTTTAATTAATATGATTCACATTAATGAGGCAGTTTACTACACAAACCGCCCCCTCGTGCCTTTTTCAAACTGGATGCTCCCAGCACAGTAGCAAGAGTCAAATGAGTCAGTTCCCAGGTGAACACGGGGTCGCCAGGGGGTTCCAACTGTCAGACGTTCGAGACGGATGGAGGCTCTTAATCCCCACGCTGTGACGAAAAATGTACACACGCCACGCAAGCTAAGCGAGAGTGACAGGAACAGGTTTTGGGCCTGGCAGGGGATTGGAGATGCGTCTCGCGTCCGCTTCATTTATTTGCAATGCGTCACACGTGTGACTGATGGTGGGTTTCTCTGAAAACAAACACATACACGCACACACATGTACGCATATGGACGATAAACAAAGTAAAAGAGAATTTCGAGTAAACGCCACTAAAATGTTTCAGTGAATGTTAATCATATTAAAACATTTTGACCAAATTTTGGATTTTAAGCATAGCATTTTGTAGAATGGAACGAATGGTTTTGCATTTATCAGATGACATCACAGCTTTTGTTTCGCTGGTTTCCAGCTCATCCTTGTGTGATTGGCGTACGTTTATACGGTTTATTTTCATCGCCTCTAATTGGCATTTGTTGACGACCGATAATGACAGGAGTGGTGTAGAACCGATCAGCACAAATAGACCCAGGCTCTCATCACACGCCGGCACACAGACGCACACACTGCGGCTGGTGTGTATTTACTCAGCACACACGGAGGGAGGCGCTCTAATTGATGGCGACGCACAGATGGCCTTCGGCCCTCGTGACCACAAGAGCGTTGCAGGCCGGCTCCCCTGCCGTGCAGGCCTGTAAAAAAGCGGCGATGCTTCATGGCCCATCAATTCACCAGGTGAACGCAAAAGGCCGCCCTCCCATTTGCCTCCGAGTTTGGATCGCTTTGCACTTTTTGCGGGAATGCGGCGAGGTCGGAGTTCACAACGTCTCCCAAGTTGGCTTTTTACAAGGCCACGCGGTGCGGAAAGGACCAAAGTGACTAAACCGGACGGCCGAGCAAGAACTCCAGTCGGCGTTTTATTGCCGCATATCAGGCGATTGACCCTCGTGCATATAAATCAACTTGCTGCTGATAAAATTGTATCCTGTCGTCAAATTTGATTGTGGGTAGATGAACAGAATAATCTCAAAAAGCCACGACCTGTGTTGAAGAAAAAAAAAAAAGACGGGAAGCATCCACCAGAAGACTTTCCTTTCCCCCCTGAGCCGACATCCCACTTGTATTGTTGAATCGCAGCCCTGAAATTCCAAATTGCGCATGTCAACAATGTGGGAAAAGGAAAAGGGAATGCCGCCAGGTGGATTTGGGCGTGATCGAAACACCCAGCGCAGCATCTGGGTGTCAAAAAGCAACTTCAGTGGGGCTGTCGCCGAGCTGGAAAGGAGTCGGCTGCGCTGCTCCCATGTGGGTGGCTGCGTTCTCGCCGGCAGACAATGTCCCTTTTAAAATGGCTGCGTCTGGAAAGGCTATTAGATGTGCATATAAAATTTCCCCTGTGATTAATAGTGGATGCGGCAGGCCAGCTACTCCAACATGTGGTGGCCGGGGGCCTACAGACTCCGCCTCCGGGGTGTCGCGTTCCCTCCCCCCCATCCACCATAAACCCGCCGTGCTTTCCTACCTCGAGGAGGAGGGCTCACCATCAAGGAGGCCTCACCAGACTTGTGAAAAGAGGCGGCCGCAGCGCCTCAGCTCAGCAGTCGAAGCATCCAGCTCTCGATCAGGCCAGCCAGCATCCACAGTCCCGGCGAGCGCGCCAGGACCCCGCAGGAGCGCGAGCGACGACGGGGGTCACCGAGGCGTTGCGTCCTCACGCCGTCAAGAGGATCTTCATCGATTATCGGTTTCCAAGCGCCACCATGGACCAGCCGGCGAGCAGCTGCATGAGGAGCGCCCACCCCAGCAGCCCCATCTGGGGGTGCATGCGGAACCCACACTCGGGCGTCCCGGGCGCCAACCTGCAGTCGCCCTACCAGCAGGCCCCTTTCTCCCTGCACCAGAAGCCCGAGTTTCTGGCCTACGCGGATTTCTCGGGTTCCTGCCTGCTGCCGCACGCCGCCGCCTACCCCCGCGACGACAGACTCTACCCGGACAGCCAGGGCGCCTATCAGAGGCCCGACTGGCACTTCAACCCTTGCGAGGCGCGGGGTCGGGCCCCCGAGGCCTGCCCGCCCGCGGTCGCCTCCGCCGCCGTGGGGGAGGGCGTCGGCGTGGGGCCCGAGCCGGACAGTGTGGGGGCCGAGCGGCTGCCGGGCGCCTTACCCGGGTGCCCCGAGGGGGAATATTCGCCCCAGAGCGTGGCGTCGGGCGACTCCGACAAGAAGAGCGGCGGCAAGAGGAAGAGAGATGGCACAGGTGAGATGATGTGCTCCTGGAACTCCCCCGGCGCATTCAACCCAAATAATGGTCAACTTTTAATCTTCATATTGAGGCGTCCATGTGGAGGAAGCTTCCAAATAAGTTCTTCCCTCAACTTTCTTGCAACATCTTGTGGGGATTTGAATTTTTATCGCATTCAACATTTATATTATTTTCTCATGAGTTAATATCAACATTCCGGTTCAAATGCGGAGATGGGAGAAGTGCTATTTCTCAAAGGAATGAGTTAAAACTGACCTTGAATAGTATCAAAAACAAAAACAGTTTGCACCATTTTTCCTCAGTGTCACAATAATGACAGCTTGTGTGTGTTTTTTTTTTCCAAATTATTAAAGTGTACCAGATTTTGGTCAATTACGACTGCAGAAGGAATCGGTGACGTTGATTATATGCATGCCCATGGCTGTCACCTGATGTTAATTGGACTCCTGTCATTTCGTCCGAAGACGATTTGCGGCCTCCACACAAGCACTTTGCCTCCCGCCTCCGCTGCCCGCTTGCTTTTTACGGCATCTGGCTGTGCGGGATCTTTATTGGGGGTGGGGGTGTCACAAGGTCCCGCCAGGTGTTCATGCGCGCATTCCCGCAAGGACGCTGCCAGCCGACCTGAACGCTATTAGCACTGACACCTGAACTTAAGTGTGACTTTTTTTTTTTTTTTTTTTGAAGTGCACCATCTGCATCCACACGTGTATTTATGCACATCTGGATTTGCAGAAGTTCACGTTCTGGCAAAGCTAAACATTGTCGAATTAGAGCAGTCGGAAAGTCAAATACGATGACATCAGCCTTTGTTGTCGTTCGTAATATTCCGCCGCCAGTCATTTGTTTTGACTTTGCCGATCTTGACCGAAGCGCTTCTGGTTAACAGTTTAAAATGCAGTCTTCTGAAAAAAAATTACAAACTAGTTTCTTTTGAGGGGTGTGGGGGGGCACAGAAAGGATCCATTACATTTGGAGAGAGAATGTTGTTTTGTAAAGAAATAAAATCAACATTTTATTTTATATATATAATTTTATTTTTCTTGGACAAGAGGTTTTTTTAATGTATTTTCAGGAAAAAGGTTTTTCTTTTTTTTTTTTTTTCTTGAGAATAAAAGTTAGGTTTTTTGGGGGTGGGTGGGGGCAGGCCTTTAAAAAAACACTTCTACGTCTGCATATTTGTTTCAAAGATGCTTTCTGGGGAATCATGTTTGAAATTTTTTTTGCCACAAAGTTGTAGTTTTTGAGTACCTCACGAGAACATTGTCGCATCTTTCCAGAGGAAACTCATGCAAAATTTTATTATACGAGGCAGAAGTCAAATTCTTTACAGAGGAATTTCAGGAGATCTTTCCAGAGGAAACTCATGCAAAATTTTATTATGTAATGTAATGTAATAGTTTGTCACTATTACAAGAACATACTTAAATTTTCAGCACACCTGGCCCTGACACGATCGGCGTCAAATTGCAAAGAATGACTATTACGTTATTTGTTTGAAAGCTCCACCAAAATAGACCAAGGCACCAGAATTAAGATCGTTTGGCCTTGTAGGAGGTCTGCTTTCTTTTTTTTTTCGACATTGTTGAAAAATGCCAACCCCCTGTGGAGATTTCCTGATGGATGTGTTGTCAGGTAGAGATGAGTTAATGCGGAGGTCTCCTGACCCGGAGTACTCGCACACACATACGCACACTTGCGTAAAGAACCGCTCCGACCAGGACACATCCTCATCTTTGTTCTTTTGTTGGCGGCTTTAACGATGTTCCGCCGCATTCCTCCGCTAAGTCGGTCCCTGTGTGGCTGCACGGCCAAATGGACAAATTAGCCAAATGCCGACCCGCTGTGTGTGATTCACGGCGGTCTTAAAAGTACCGCGGCCTGACCCTTAAAGTTTGTGGGCATCATCAAATGTATTTGTTTATCTTTTTAACCCTTTACCGGAGGTATTTTCTTGTGCAAAACACCCCCCGCCAAATGCGTTTCTCCTGCGATCCTCGCCCAGACACCCCAGAGTCGGTGTGCAAGGCGGACGCCAACTGCAAAGCCCGGAAGGAGCGCACGGCCTTCACCAAGGAGCAGCTAAGGGAACTGGAGGCCGAGTTCACCCACCACAACTACCTGACCAGGCTGCGCCGCTACGAGATCGCCGTCAACCTGGACCTCACGGAGAGACAGGTAGGAGACCGTAAACGATATGTTGGCAAGAACTGCATGCCCTTCACATGTGGGGAAAGGAGAGCCACAGTTGAAGAACGGTAAAACCCAAATGGGAGCACTCAATAAGCTGCTGTGGGCCACAGCTCACGGCACAAGCTCGCATGCAGACTTGTCGTCAAATGCCACCCCGTCAAGCCCCGCCTCTTATCGGCACATATGCAACGAAGAATGGAGCCTATGCCAGCCATCTTCGGGCATTAGGAGGGAGACGCTCTGAACTTGTTGCCAGCCAAACGTATGGCACACAAGACGAACACGCTCACATTGAGGGACAATTTAGAGTGTTCAATCAGCCTGCCATGCATGTTTTGGGAATATGGGAGGAAACCGGAGTACCCGGAGAAAACCCACGCAGAACATGCAAACTCCACACAGCGAGGCCAGAGCTGGAATTGAACCTGGTAACTGCACTGTTATGTCGACGCGCTAAACACTGGGTCACCGGGTCGCCCGCAAGGGTCAACAAAATGATTTATACAAGATAAAATAGAACATGCAAAGGAAGGAAAATTACCGAAAACGTTTTGGAAAACTGTCATCGCTGAACCGTTTTTTTTTTTTTTTTTTTTGAGGCATAAAGAGTTTATTCTTTTTGTTTTAGTGACTCAGTGTTTCTCATTCTTAAAATAAATAAGTGAAATGACAAATTGTATCTGCGCTAATCGATGAAAACGTAAGCGCTGCTAACAGCACAACCCAAAATGAAGTTTGACCAACTATCCCCAAAGTAATCTGACTACGTGTGACTTTCTCAAATGCGGACAATAAAACCTCATCCCCCCCACTCCTTCCGTCATGCGAAGCCGTTGGCGTCGCCCGGCCGTCCAAATTACAATGAGCAGATGTTTTCCTGTGCACGGACTCTTGCGGTTCTTCTCTCCGCATGACGTGAGCTTTTAGTGAGGGGGAGGCGGGCAAGGGGGCGCCATCAAACCGGGCCAGCACGTGCGCATGCGGCCGGCTATATTAAAAAGTCCGGTGTCCTGGCTAATGAGGCGGCGGTGCCACGGTGACCGCACGGAGCGGCCGTCTGCTTCTCCAAATGGAATTCCCAGACTGTTGGAACGCGACGGCGGCCGCGTTCCATCCTCGTTGATGTTGTGATGTCCTTTCCATCAGTCGTCATGGAGGACAGAAGAAAGGGGGATCAGGATGTTGGAACGCGTCGGATGAGGAAGCGTCCATGTCCAACTTCTACAAACTTGAACCAAAATGGGGAACGAAAAAAAAACCAACTAAAAAGGGTGATCGGATTCTAGTTTCCCCCCCAAAAATGACGACATTTGTATTACACTGAAAATGCCCCCCCCCAACTTCCCTCCCCAAGATTTGCAAATTTGCGCACATTTTATTGATAGATACTCACCTACTCGCTGTTTTCGCGCTCAGGCCAAAGTTATTGATTGTGGTATCTTTACGTTTTCCAGATGCTATTTTGTCTTCAAAAAAAACAAACAAACAAACAAACAAACAAACAAACAAACCACTAACAGGCCAACTCCTGCCTGAGTGGAAGCAACAAGCGCTTGAGTGTCATCATCCGCTCATTGCATATTTGTTGAGGTCCGTTGTGCCAAACTTC